GTCCTTGAATCAGCCTAGATTAATTTCTACCAATCAGCGTAGATCAATGTCTACCAACTGGCTAGCAGCTTGCTCTCACCACACTCGTCCGCCCGTCAAATAGCTTCGTTCGCAGGCGTTCCGACCTTCTTGGTGCTACATTCTCTAGTTGAGGATTGTTGCTGATCGGCTTGTCCCACTGTACCCATCGTTGGAGCTGACTCGCATTAACTCGTTTCTGTTTGTCACCTCTTCGGACGGTATATACTTGACCCCGTCTTTTTGTGATTGTGTATGGTCTTTCCCACTTTGCCAGGAGTTTCCGTGAACCTGGCCCGCCTCCTGTTTGTACTGTCAACGAACACGGACTAAGGCTCTTACATAAATTCTTATCTATCAACGACACGGCCGCTCCTGTATCTACTAAGCATACTACTTCTCGATCATTTACTCGCAACTTCGAATACATAGCCCCTTTCTCAATCGCCCCCACTAAGTCTAGGTTCATACGAAAGAAAGAACAAGCATTATACCGTCTGAAATTTTTCCTTTTCTGTCTTTCTGGGCAGTCTCTTCTCCAGTGTCCTGGCTTGCCGCATTCAAAACATCGGTTTTTTCTATTACCCAACTTTAACGCCGCCACTTCCCGCTGCAATGCTTCAATTTGCTCCTCATATTCATTTGGTTTCGGCTGCTCTATAGCGGCTACAGTCGTGCTCAGCAGCTGTCTGGTCACCTTCGCTAGTTCACTAATATCCATCGGTTGCGTTGCGTTCACCAGTTTTAACTGCTGAGAAATGTGGTCTGGTACACTCTCGATGAATTGGGAAGATAGTAACTGCTCTTCTGATTCTTTATCCAACGTGGGAAGCGCCCGTCGAAGTAAATTCGTCAATTTCACCGCCAATACTAACGGGTCTCCATCAGGTCCCAGCCTCGTTGATCGGAACTGCTGCATCGCTAGCTGCCTGTCTGTTGCGCTGTCGAACTCCGACACCAAATTTTCAACCAATTTCTTCCAAGACACTGTGCCGTTTGACCGGTCTACGCTGTCATATGCCGCCTTCGCTCGGCCTCTCAACAGCGTCCCCAGAACAACTGCCTTCGCCGCCTGCTCCTTGACACCCACCAGCTCAGCTATGGCTTCGAAATCACGTAGGAAGCTCCGTATGTCTCCCTCCCCAAACGCAGCTGGCCACGGGATCTTCATTTTTCCGGAGGCAGCGACACGAAATGTAACAACAGAAGACAAGGCTGGCAACAGATCAGTTTTATTACGAAAACCAACAGGTATTTATATGTATTTTACGTACATTAATAGGCTTCTGCCCGCAGAAAGAAGGCGGTCTTCTGATTGGTTGTTTGCACACAAACGCAGTCTTCTGCTTTCTCGTTTTCGATGTTTCTCGGAAATGCGAGCCACTTGTCTGCGAATCATATTTGTCCATGTCAGCTGTGATTGGTCCTTGAATCAGCCTAGATTAATTTCTACCAATCAGCGTAGATCAATGTCTACCAACTGGCTAGCAGCTTGCTCTCACCACACTCGTCCGCCCGTCAAATAGCTTCGTTCGCAGGCGTTCCGACCTTCTTGGTGCTACATTCTCTAGTTGAGGATTGTTGCTGATCGGCTTGTCCCACTGTACCCATCGTTGGAGCTGACTCGCATTAACTCGTTTCTGTTTGTCACCTCTTCGGACGGTATATACTTGACCCCGTCTTTTTGTGATTGTGTATGGTCTTTCCCACTTTGCCAGGAGTTTCCGTGAACCTGGCCCGCCTCCTGTTTGTACTGTCAACGAACACGGACTAAGGCTCTTACATAAATTCTTATCTATCAACGACACGGCCGCTCCTGTATCTACTAAGCATACTACTTCTCGATCATTTACTCGCAACTTCGAATACATAGCCCCTTTCTCAATCGCCCCCACTAAGTCTAGGTTCATACGAAAGAAAGAACAAGCATTATACCGTCTGAAATTTTTCCTTTTCTGTCTTTCTGGGCAGTCTCTTCTCCAGTGTCCTGGCTTGCCGCATTCAAAACATCGGTTTTTTCTATTACCCAACTTTAACGCCGCCACTTCCCGCTGCAATGCTTCAATTTGCTCCTCATATTCATTTGGTTTCGGCTGCTCTATAGCGGCTACAGTCGTGCTCAGCAGCTGTCTGGTCACCTTCGCTAGTTCACTAATATCCATCGGTTGCGTTGCGTTCACCAGTTTTAACTGCTGAGAAATGTGGTCTGGTACACTCTCGATGAATTGGGAAGATAGTAACTGCTCTTCTGATTCTTTATCCAACGTGGGAAGCGCCCGTCGAAGTAAATTCGTCAATTTCACCGCCAATACTAACGGGTCTCCATCAGGTCCCAGCCTCGTTGATCGGAACTGCTGCATCGCTAGCTGCCTGTCTGTTGCGCTGTCGAACTCCGACACCAAATTTTCAACCAATTTCTTCCAAGACACTGTGCCGTTTGACCGGTCTACGCTGTCATATGCCGCCTTCGCTCGGCCTCTCAACAGCGTCCCCAGAACAACTGCCTTCGCCGCCTGCTCCTTGACACCCACCAGCTCAGCTATGGCTTCGAAATCACGTAGGAAGCTCCGTATGTCTCCCTCCCCAAACGCAGCTGGCCACGGGATCTTCATTTTTCCGGAGGCAGCGACACGAAATGTAACAACAGAAGACAAGGCTGGCAACAGATCAGTTTTATTACGAAAACCAACAGGTATTTATATGTATTTTACGTACATTAATAGGCTTCTGCCCGCAGAAAGAAGGCGGTCTTCTGATTGGTTGTTTGCACACAAACGCAGTCTTCTGCTTTCTCGTTTTCGATGTTTCTCGGAAATGCGAGCCACTTGTCTGCGAATCATATTTGTCCATGTCAGCTGTGATTGGTCCTTGAATCAGCCTAGATTAATTTCTACCAATCAGCGTAGATCAATGTCTACCAACTGGCTAGCAGCTTGATCTCACCACAACAGAACCATCTTAGAGTATGTCATGTTCCCACAAAGTTACTGATAAATAACTCAGTCAAACTGGCTCAGCCTTTAAAGACATTTGTGTGAGATACCTCAGTTTCACCACAGTGATTGTCATAAAAAAACATACTGAATATTACCTGCTGTAGGCAAACGATTACATCCTGTTTAGGTCTTCCTGCTCTGACTTCTTAAAAATGCTACATCCAACCTAGCATGGTAACATGTTTTAATCGCGTCCAAATTCTGCCATGACAACTTAATCGTCTGCATTTCGTGCGCTTCCCATGAGAAACACCGCGTACGCAAATCGACGTCACCGTGATTTATATATATATATATATATACGGTATCCAGCGTCCCAGTTGAAGTAATGAGCAAAGAACCAATATGGCCTACGAGCTACATCAGGTAACCTCATATACTGCTAGTAAGTAATTTCGTTTTACACTCACCCCATCTAGAACTAACAGGGTTAGTCATGATTTAAGAAAGTGCACCACTTCACACTTCAAATGATGTAAATCCGTTAGCCCCTTAAGGTGATTGACTATATACGACTGTCATTCAATGCACGGACTGAAAGCTGTTCAGATAGTGAATGAAATTATCGATTTTATAGACCTGTTGTGCTCTAGCAGCTAAAACCGCAAGCCTCAATATAATTCTAGTAAGCCAAGTGGTAGAGTATAAATACAGTTTACTGAACACGTGCTTGCTATTCATATCCAAAATTCACGGAGTGAGAAATTCGCACGCAAATTCCGAGGAGCAAAATCTCTTTAAACGGTAACCATTCGTACTAACCAGTAAAAAAACCAGCAATAACGCTGATTTGAAACCAACTGTTTAAACGTTCCATCACCAGCGCCTCCATCTTTAAACCCTTGTAACTGCACCATGTCTATGGAGGTTTCAGTTGGCTGGTATCGAAGGAAGCCATGACAATATCTGCTAGACAAAACAGTACGAGGTTGACAAATGTCTCCGACTCCTGCATAAAGCTAGCTTTTAGAAAACTGAAATGTGTGTGGGAAAATATAAAAGTATTTTGAACCTAAGGTTAAACAATTTGCATTTTATAGTATGGCCACTGCACAATAAAACTTCAAATAATTTTTGGTCCAATTGGTCTATGACGTTCAATGAGCTTTTTTGCAACACAACTCTAACTTAAGAGAGCAGATGCCGGTTATAAGGGTGGCGGCCGGAAATCCGAAACTCAAGATGTTGAATAGTGAATGTGTTAATAAATACTTCTTTCGTTATATTCCTTATAAGCCAAAACTCTTAAACACCAATAGTGTAAGCGTCGAACAACAATATTCGAAGTCCTTAAGACTGATGCCTATTTCCACTCTGTAGACAAATTATTTAGTTAAGGTGCATCCATTTTTCTGCTGATATAACCAGAGATTACCACTGCCGGGATCACGCCGTACTCGAATTTCTAAACAAACAAATAATTTGATTCACCATGCGTATCATGTAACAGTTTTCCGCCAGTTCGAAGTTGAGAAAATGCGTCAGGGTTACAGTCCGCATTTTTACTGACTAATTCAACTCCCAGTTTGTAACTCCACTGAAAACACACTTGTGGCTGAATAGTTAAATTAAATAAATGGTCAAAAGTTACCTCACTAATAGCAATGGAAATGTATCATAGCCCACAGCTGACTCTAATGAGCTACTGTGCTGAAATTGAGCTTGTTGCCATAAAGACCACCTTCGAATCACGGCATGCTATTAGGATTTTAGCGCTGAATACAGGGCATTTTCGGGAAAAATATCATAAACCAGAAAGAAGCAGACATTCTCTTGAAAACATGAGTGACAACTGACAATGGTTGGATAATTCCAGCTGGTCCACAATCATGTTAGTGTCGACTCTTGGTAGATATATCGAATATTAATGAGCACTAGGTGCATGTAAATAAATCACTTAGCGCTTATAAACTCATAACCATACATAGTGCAAAAATAAGCATGTTGCCTACATTCCCAATAATAATACAGAAGAAGAAACAAGATAATCGTTCAGCATTGCTTTATAAGAATACCTGATTAGTACATACTATGCCTCCCTTGTCTGTATTGGAAGTCTGAATTTCTCCACCAAATACTTAAGTCCATAGGATTCTTCTCCAATGTCTGTGATTACAATACAGGAAGCTGAGACAACTTTTCTGGCTTTCCCTTCTTTGTCATATTTACATAATCCAGACCATTCACCGAGTTTCTTGTTATCAGGTACCTATAGGCAGTGATGAGGCAAATAACGTCCATACCTTCACTAAAGGAATGCCGTGTTCGTGACACAAGGCCTCTATAAGGGTGGTGTAAGCCTTTTCATTGCAATTCTCAGCGAGAAAACAGAGAACTACACGGCGTTGCTCAATCAGTTTCGTGCATTCGTTCAAGCCACGTGATATCCCTCTGCACTTGGCGGCGTTCTTCAGGACCTGCTGAACGGCACCATCAAGATCCATCTCTTGGGCCAACATCATTCTGCAATAAATCAATACGAATGAACAACTCTGATAAAAACACAGCAATATTCATCTGGACGAAATTCACTCACGTTCTTGAGAAACTGTATCACCCGCTACTGCAAACCACACTAGCTAAAACAAACAACTTCCAGGGCAAAAAGCAAAAGCGATTTTGCGAAATGTTAGTGATGGTTGAATGGCTCCCAGGATTCTCAGGCTTCTGCTTTATGTTTCCTTTCTGCGATCCCTAATCAAATACTGGTTCGATATCTCAGCTTGGTTATGAGAGATTCCGGTTCAGAATTTCGGTCACTTTAATCCTTCCCTGTAAACTATCTGAGCTTTTATATTTTCCTCTTTGACGAGTCAAGTGAGTAAGCACAGCTAGAGACCAGGTGGAAGAAACAGTATTCCTATGGTGATGTACATCATTCTTTCCTCTTAACCTTTCCTATTATATACTATGAGATGTTTCAACCAAGTAGAAGGGAAAACAGTAGGTGAATAAGGGGCAAAAATATTTCCTAGGACTTTTTAAATTCTGGCTTAATATCCTTTCTGCCTATGGCATAATAAAATGAGATGCAGTCAGTTAATCCTTCAGCCCATGATAAACTGGTCGTACATAAGTCGATACCTCTGAAATATTCCCACCATGTGCGAATCACCTTTTTGGCAAACGTTGGATGCTTGGATGAATTTTTCAAGCTTCAGTTTCATTAATATTTGTTAAACAATTGCAACCATAGCATTGGCGGGACAAATCATAGTCCAACCATTAACTAAAGTGTTGTAAATTAATAACCATGAGTCATATTTTTCGATTTAGTCTTATAGAAGAAATGATAGTAGGATGACTGCAGCATTTTGAGACACACCTGTGTGTCCTATTTCAGGAGGAGATTCTTACATGCTGCGCCCCGTCAACAAGTAGTTCTTTGTGAGGATTGTTCATAATTACAATTGTTTCTGTTTTCCTTAGACGCCAGTGAATCTGCGTATCGAATGCCCTGACGAAATCTATGAAGAATCCGTCGACGATTTTTGCTTTATCCTGACTTTTAACCCGTACATGAAGTTTGGCAGACAACAGAGGATTGCCCAAGAACTGTGTTATGCATCGGATAGCAAATTATTAACTTTCGGATAAGCCATGGCAGCTTTCTCACTTTCCCCTTTAGTATCGTAACTAAGGTGCTAGAACGACTTTAAGGTCTGTGATTTGGAGAAGAAGGAAAGATAACAATTTCCATTAGGATAGGGCGGCTTCTGCATCCTTCTAATCGTGAGGAACAGTTTGAAAATAGCAGTCAGTGCACAGGCAGCGCCAACTAGCAGCTCTTTGAGAAACCTTTGGTGGTATTCATCAGATCTCATTGACCTGTCCGAATCTACTTTGGAGGGATCTTCAAACGAAATCTTAAGATAGACACCTCTTGAAAAATGCAGTATGTGGTGGCGATTATTGAGTGTGTTCAGAATTTCTAAATGTTTATCAAGCCGTAAGAGATTCGCCCATTAATTGTCTGCGCCCAGATATACACATTTCCATCTAGTTCTGTTTTGGCCAGGTATTGACAAGCTCTTGTCTTCTGGATCGACTCTGCGCATCTGTTCCATCAGGGCTCCCTACAAGATTGTCGGATTTCAGGCTAAGCCATCAATAAGTGCTTGATCTTTAATCAACTGGACATTTTGTGGGTTGCAATTTTGCATTTGAAGTGATAAGATTATCAGATATCAATGGCAGGTATTCTACTAGTATAGAACAGCGAAGCTGTACCATTTCTGGCGAAAATCTACTACCTTTGGTTTACGTACAAATGTAACGCAAATATATGAATATAAGTGAATTGTTGCGCAGTCATAATAACAATTTATTCAAGTGAATTTAAAGCATTTACTTGATTGGCACATCCTTCTAACAGACATGATCACATCTGAAATTACCAGGTGGCATGGGCCTTAGTAGGTCCAAATGGTCAATACCTCACCAGTATGAAGACGGCTGAAACATTCAGTTTAGCCTTCACCAGATGGTTAAACAGCAATGTGTGTATTACTGGTACGGACCAAAATGGCGGCACTACCACTTCATCGGAGGAAAAACTATTGGCTACGCCCCAAATAAATCCAGCAATAGTACTAGGGGAGCTAAAGAGACTCACATCCGGAAAGTGTCCAGGTTGTGACGATATCAGGTCATCTGTTCTGAAACAGCGCGCCGGAGCTCTCTGTAGGCCCTTACGCGACTTGCCCCAACGCTCGATAGATTCAGGGAAACTGCCAAGAGAGTGTAAAAGGGCTAGCCTTTCTGGAAATGCTAGCAGGATAGCTCACCACAGAGTAGAGACTCGAGTGCGCTTCCATCTCTTTCCACTGCAGGTTTGTCGTCCCTGGAACTCCTTACCGGCAGATGTAGCTATGGCACTGTCTGTGAACAGCTCTAAGCGAAGGCTGGACAATCATGTGGCGACACGAGGACTGCGTGCATTTGGCGTATCCCCTTAAAATCCCATACACCATCAATGGGTAGACATTTGAACCCTTCGTTTTTACTTCTTTACATTCCCCCCCATCTTACCCTCCTGAGTACTCCAACTACTACAATTACACTTATTACTACTGATATTGTATACATATATACATATAAACATACTAACTTCAAATTTAATTAGCCGTCTGTCTTTATGTTTTCTTTATTTCTTTTTCTGTCGTTTAGTCTGAATAATCTACAGTGACTATATCCGTTATTATTATTTCTTTCCTTTTGTAGACAACACCGAAAGACTAACTGGTGAAAGGGTCAACTCCATTCACAGTAACAACATGGTCTTAACACACCGCGTACGACAAACAACATATAATTAATCCCAGCACCACTCCTCTTGGAGTCAACCAATTCTACGGCAGTCGAGTGGCGGGATGAACTACACAGAACTTTACCGAAGACCAGGAATCTTCACCTCACAATCAAGAAGCGAGCACAGAGAAATCAAATTGGCTTAAACTAGCTCGTAAAAACGATATCGGATATTCAGTTATTAAAGTTTACTCATGTTTTGGCGTGTGAAGCTCACTATTAGCAAGAAAAATACCATGAGCTACCTTTACTCAAGTGCACACGATATCATCAATCGCCAGTAATTTTGAAATTAAATTATACTACAAGACTAAACTGAACAGCTTGTACTGGTTTTGCATGTTCGTTCTGCTGTCGTTTCGACATAACAGTGATCTATGACTGATCACTAGACTACTACCCCTTTTCGGAGTGAACGAAGTAGACAACTATAGAATGTAACGAACTCATCGGATTCGTCTGTGTGCTTATCAAAGATGAGGTTGGTGATAGAACTCACCAATATAGAGGCTGAGGGTGTTGGCTGTAGGGGACAACTCATTATATACCAACGCAGGATCTTAATATCAGAAACCCTAAGGTGTTCCTACCGTGAAGACTAAATTTATCAGTGTAACTAGTGTTTCTCGGGGTCATTTGAAGCACGCAAATACACAAGCGCTGTCAGCCATTTTCGGCGTAAATACGAAACAGTAAAAGCTCTCCACGTCTGCAGTCAGTTTGCTCTTCTTGTCTTCTTGCGTCACGTTCCCAGTGGTATTGTGCCGTGTTGTTGTTGTCGTTATTATTGCTAACTGTGGTTAGGACAACAAGCTTGCGAGGCGACCAGATAAAAAATTCGTTGTTACAACTACAAGTCTATTAGCGATGGCACTATTTTTGGCCTAAATTCGTAATGCGAGGATGGATTTAACCAGCTAGGCATCGTGTATAAGCAGTCAAACGTAACACGACAGCCTACAAATTAGCGAGAATGCTTTACCGCGGGCCTTCGGCTAAACAATTAGACTTAGACAGTGAAGGTAAGCGCCAAGTGATGAGTGATGGATTCTGTGGCTAATAATTTCGGAGGATTATCTCCCGCTTCGATATCCTCAGCTTGTTCCAGTGATTTCCATCTATGAACAGTGGTGATGAAAACATTATTCTTGTTTTTGTGCGGAGTGCAGTAAGTTTTCACAGTGACATAAGACTAATGAGGGTGTCTCGATTTCGGACTCTGCTTCTGGTACCATCATCCATACGGTCGATTGTAGCTGAACCAATAACGGCTGGACAGGCGGCTCTCCCTTAGTTTCTGTTGATGATAATGACTGCTGTTCCTAGGAAAATTTCTCCATCGCCTTTGTCTTACTGGAGTCCACTTGAAGTCCTGTGCGAGATAATAGTACCTCATGATTAGTCAAATCTTGTATCAACATTATTTAATAATAATAATTTACTTTATTCCAAAAACAGTACTTATAATACAGAATGGAATTCTCAGCATTTGTCACAATATTGCATCTGATTTACTCAAAGTGTATATAAAATTAAAAATTTAAAACAAAAATTAATCGGAGAAATTTGTCCACATTAACGACATAATTATTAGATATAGTAATAATAATAATAGTAATAATAATAAATACTAATAACAGTGAGTTTGTTTCAAACGGTATTGTCGATTCAGTTTGGAAACTTTAGCATGTTATGGATAATTGGGTCTAATGTTCTGTTGATATGGTATAGTGAGGTGAAATACAAAGTTAACAGTCATAATACAGCTTAAAATTATGTCCACAGTTATGAAAAATAAAATAAACAAAACGAAAAAATTGAGAGGATTATAAATAAAAGAAATACAATAACAATGAAGTATGATGCTTTAAGGTTGAAGGAAATGGTCTATTTAGTGGTGCTAAGAAGGTTAGTTAGTTCATTTCTGACACTATTTGCATCACATAGAGTACGTGCTAAATATGGTATAGTGGAATTTTTATACTTAGACGTACGTGCATAAAGTCTTCTGAAAAGACTTCTTGTTTTACCTGAGGAGACACAAGGTTGGAGCTGCGGGTAGAGTGGGTGCTCAGAGTCTGACAAAATTCCTCTAGCGAATCTGTTGCATGACATCAAATGCCTATCGGTGACAATGCCAACGATATGGCCCAATGGGATACCACTAGTCCTACTGACAGTCCTCAGAGTTCTACGAAGTATGACATAGTCCTTTTTTAGCAATCCAGGAAAGAATAAGGGTGAACAGTAAAGAAGAATAGGTA